TGTAAGTTGATGTGATAAAAACCAAAGAATACCTTCTTTTTTATTTTCTCGTCGCTTTTGTAAAGACTAATAGAAACTGTATAATCAGTCTATTACGCACAACGGCTCGTCCGTCACCACAATGCACTTTTCCCATAGATCTTTAGCTATTTGTATCTGCCAAACACACACAAAAACAAATGCATTTCATTGTATCATAAAACAATTACGCACAAATTTATCGAACTCACCTGGTTATCTTCGCCGAAGATCGGCAAGTCCTTGACAGAAATGAATTCTGGATATCGCTGAATTATTTCCTTAACTGCAGGTACAAATTTTTTGCCAACTTCCAAAAATTGTGGCTCATACTCATGGTATTCTTTCGAATTTTCACTTGAGTAGTATATCCTGAACGTGCCATGCTCTTTAATTAATCTGCAAAGAACGAATAGTAAATAGTGCGTTCAATGTATAAAAATCTATAATTGTTACAACTTACCTAATACAATGAGATCGCAGCAATCGTATTCTAGTGTCAGGCTCAATCTCCACTCGATACTTCACACAACCATTCGCAGTCATGCGTTCGCCGTCTTGAAGCACAGAGCATTCCTGCTCAACCTCCGATAGAAACGGAGGTAGGAAATCGTGCACATGATTCTTGGCCATCAGATCTGCAGCTTTGTCAACATCAATATGATCCACCAACTTTCTAAGCAAATGCCTCACTTGCTCTCTGAACTCCTCTTTGCTGCTGCTCTGATTTTCGGAATGAGCAAAGCCAGTGTGCCTTAAGTAATGAAACGGTAATCCTTTTCGAAACTCGCTGTCATTTTCTGTCGCAGTTTTTAACGCATCCGGGAGTAACTTCTCTAAAAAGTCAGTCCAGCTATTTTTCTGATAAACACTTAATGTTATATGAAGACTATGGGACTCCATAGCAGTGCCCTGATGTATGGTTCCGCGTGGGAAGTACAGCAAGTCTCCTGCCTTCACTACTGTATCCAGTATGGGTTCTCCTATTTCCGAATCTTCAAAATTTCTCGAAGAGAATCTTGGCAGATATTCTTTCTCATATCGTGGTTTGTATAACCTCCATCTTTTTTGGCCTTCTACCTGCAGTATGAAAGCTTCTATGTCGTCATAATGGGGAGCAAAACCTTGGCTATTTGGAGGCGTTAGGTAAGCATTTGCTCCCACAAAGCAACCAAAGAATTCTTGAAGTGTGGCTGAAAGTGGAGCATAAATATTATGCTTTGCTACGGTTTTAAAATATAATATTTTTATTACCGTTTAGAGAATGCAATATTGGTATGTATGTCTGTGGGTTTAGCATTCTAACAGAGCACCCATTCCCATAATAGTCCCAGACAACACTTGGAACTGCTCTACCGATAGGATTATGTGTTTCCCTCACTCCATTTTCATAAGAAGTGATATCAATATTTTTGGTGAATTGAATATAAGACTCTCTTAATATTTTATCCATCATTGGAGTGGACATGAGCAACTTGTAATAAGTGTTGCAGTTCCTCTTTATATGCACCGGTGTCTGTTCCCAATATTTTCTGAAACAATTCCAAAAACAATTTAATACTAAACAGAGATACAAGTATTGTGTTAAAATATAAATTGTACTAACTCCAAAAAGTCTTCCACTTTCAATGGATGTATCATCAATTCAAACGATGAATGACTGATGTCAAAAGGATTCTTTTGATAGTCTTCAGGCATTTTAACTTCTTTAGGAGGAAATAATTCATTTACTTTCTTTTTCTGTTTTGAATGCTTTTGATTAATGTGTTTCATTTTTGCAACACCTGCATTTACCATTAGAGGACTCTTTAATTGCAATTTTGTTTTTGAACCTTTTGAATTGTTAACTATCTTTTTATTTGTTTCCCTTAGTTGATAAAAGCTTCGAAGTGATTTACTTTTCTTGAGAGCAGACGGAGCAAGTTTTTTGGACGTAGAGGTCTTATTTGTTTTCTGTTGATTCGCGCTCACAGATGTTTTGTTCAGTTGCTGTTCTGTTACTTCTTTGGTGTCATTTCGTAAGGTCACTCTTTTCACTGGCGTAACATGCTTCTTTTTTAATTTCTTCGATTTTGAGGTTAATTCTATGTTCTTGCGTTTCATTGCTTGTACAGCAAATGCTGATATCGGTTCATGATACTTAAGCATCTGCAAATTAATGTAAAAAAGTATTGTACTTTAGTAATACTAACTATGTCTATATCTTAATCGGAATAAAAATGTTAATTAAAAAATGATATTGCTTATAATTAGAGTGTAGATCTTTATGTAAATGTGGTTAATTAAAATCTTAGAAATTGAAAAGACTCTATGAATAATTTAAAAATTTGATATAATAATTACGAAGATAAAACTTTATTTTGATTTAATTCTTTTGGATCTATATTGTAACTTATAAAATTGTACATTTGTGTAATATTCGCAGTTTATTTATAACGAAATAAAAGTGTATCTTATAGAAACCGGTGTGTTTGGAGGTTAGGTTCTCCTTCCAAACAATAATGAAATAATATCATAAAAGATTACCATGAAAATTATGGGACTGTATTCGATTTTCAATGATGCACTAGTCAAAAATGATCTTTGTTGATTATTGTTATTATTATCAGTATTTTCAGCTTAAATTTATCATTTACACGTACGTCGCGTCACATGTCATTTCAACATCAACATATATACATAAACATTATCTCGTAAAGCTTATTCGGCGCGAAATTCAAATTGTAAGTAGCATTTGAAATTTACGATGAAATTATTAAAGAAAAATGTAATAAATAAATGACAGGCTCTTACAAAGATCATGTATCCGAATGATGCTAATTTAAAAGATGATAAATAACATATTCAGTTTAGAATGATTAATGGGAGTTAAACTTGACACACTTAAGTATCAAATTTATTCCCGCGAATAGAACCGCACGCTCTACTCAACCGAAAATAAAGTAGCTCTCTTATAAATGAGAGCAATAAACATTAGCAATACTCAAGTCTATATCCATATTAACTAATTTTTGGAGAGTGCCTGCCGTGACAATAATACGAAGTCTCTCATTATATTTCCTAATTAGACAATTCCAGCTACGAGAAACGACGCCACGTAACGTCAGAATTCAGTAACAAACAGGAAACAACTACAGTCTCGTTCAAAATGTGTACACCCACCGAAATGAGATATAAATAAATGCTGTAACGACTGTACTTTGTATCTTTTATTAACAAATAAACATGCAGATGTATTCTTGTAATAATTCGATTCGCCAGAGTAACATTTCATCGAAAGATTTATTGAGCGTCCAAGTTGCAAAAATAAAAAAAGAAATATTGGTTTATTGAAAACCTCTGTGTGTTTGACACTAATTCGGATCTTGCTCGAAGCTTCCGTTTTAAACATATAATGGAGTTGACAGTGTTATAAATAATTTTCCGTTCTGTACAATTGACCACAAAATACAACTACATATGGAAGTTGAACGTTTTAATCTGTGAAACTTAGAGACGACACGAGCATACAGAACTGCCTGTTGTGATAACATTCCAAAAATTATTTTAAAAAATTTCGAAAGTATTCAGCACCCTATAGCGTTCTTATTTTCACGACAGAAAACGAAAAGCTAGAAATGAATACAGCATACGTGCAACATGAAATGACAATTACTTAGAACGGGCAAACCTTACGCTTACGTGATTCACAGATATATTCGATTATCCTTTCTCAGACATCAAATTTTTTTTGAACTAATTCAAACCGTCTTAAGCGTGATTCAAACCGTCTTAAGTGTGATTCAAACCATCATCTTAAGCGAGTCACAAACGTCATACGTTTTAACAGTCTTTCAATTATAAATCATTTGTAATTTCCGGTATTTTGTTTCTGCATACTTTCGATGCACTCAGAAAACACTCTTTTACGCTTACACTCTTCTCGTGGGCTTACACTATCGCATATTCGTCGAAAAACACTTACAAGTTACAATATATCACTGGATTGAATCGATGATACAAAAGTAAATGCTATTTCCATATCTTTTGTGGTTCGTTTGATCATGTACCGTGCTTCAGCGTGAAGAAGGCGCACAAATGCATGTTTACATCCCCATATCTGCCGCAGTCCGTTGTCCCTTCGATAATCACAGGCGGTGATGTAAAACACACGCTGTGGCTATTTCCCGCGGAAGCACCAGTACCTATCTGGTTCGCGAGATACACATGCTTCGATCAATTGAAACACGATCAAACGTACTTTTCATTTATTGCGTGGAAAATCGAATGAAATTTGGCGGGAGAAGTTCCGAACGTTTTCCAAAGAAATTCGCATCACTTTTGCGTTAACCCCCGGACACAAGGATCGTTCACTGCGACCCGCAGCTAATATTTTAATATAATATATACATTCGGTATAGACGTTTAGTCATTGCACGACCTTTCTCTTTTTTTAATTATAGTTTCGAATAGAGGCACATTGTCGACCAAGGTAATGTTATACTCGGGCCGAGGTGTCCGCGGATACCGAGAGTTAACAAGAAATCATTGGAATCAATCGAAACAGTCACGACGACCTGAGAGGCATTTTGGTATCGTGGAGATGAAAGCGACAGTTTCTGCGAATTCATTCAGGCAATTCATAATAGAGAGAAAACTAATACCTATGATGATAACAAGACAGGATCAGTTTGAGGCGAGAGGAAGAGTCCTTTCCGAAGAAGCAATAGGTTGAAATTTCTGATAAGATAACGGCTATATCGAATAGATCCAGGGACACAAGTCTTGATCTACAATCTTTGGAACTTAATCGAGAATTAATCGGGCCCAGATAAGTTTACAGGATGTTGAGAAAATAAGACCGGTATCTAATCGGTATCTACCGCTGGAATACTAACTGCGGTTTGTCCTTTCAGACTATTTAGAGCTTCATTGTTATGCAGGATCTCTCCATCACGCTGTTTAGATGAAATTTAGACTCTATAATTTCCTTCGGTACCATTCTGCAGCATGCCACTTACAAATTATCTCTACATTTAAACTCATTATTAGTGGCAGACTTTAAATCCCTGAAGCTACCTAAATCAGATATAGCTATCTTGAACCAGATTCTAGGATCTGAACTAGTCGCAATTCACCTCCACAGAAGAATTTGACGTGAGGATAGCTATTGTGATTACAGATTATGCTACCGATTCTCTAGAAACAGCGATATTTGGGGGTTTAGAATTTCGAAACGACAAACTTGCGTAAACCTTCTTTCCTTCATTTTAGGGTGCGATTGACCCTATGAATATAAATGATCGAGAGAGAACGAAAGAGAGAGAGAGAGAGAGAGAGAGAGAGAGAGAGTNTGAGGATAGCTATTGTGATTACAGATTATGCTACCGATTCTCTAGAAACAGCGATATTTGGGGGTTTAGAATTTCGAAACGACAAACTTGCGTAAACCTTCTTTCCTTCATTTTAGGGTGCGATTGACCCTATGAATATAAATGATCGAGAGAGAACGAAAGAGAGAGAGAGAGAGAGAGAGAGAGAGAAAGATTGAGAGAGAGGGAGGGAGGGAG